CAGCAGGGGGTTGGACTAGATGACCTTCAAGGTCCCTTCCAACTTTACTATTATTATTATTATTAAGTTCACTTTGGCATCCCAGAAGGCATAGAAAAACGTATGCACGAGACTTTACACAAGGGGTTGTCAACTTGTAGCCTCATTTTCAAAGCCCTCTGTAATTCCAGCTTTTGGTAAGAAAAATGTATTACTGCGACACGCTTAGGAAAAGAGACGGGGAAAGAGGCCTAATTAGTGCCATATTAAATCCCAGAAAATCTACATGGCCTCGCTCACATTTGGCTACGGCTCCACTACTAATTACTTAAACTTCACCCCTTCCTCATTCCCAGGGCCAGGTTTACATTTATTATACTCACCCACAACTAATTTTTCTCAAGACAAGGTACTCTCATGATATATAAAAAAGCTCTCATTCCTCAAGAGCCAGAGAAAACAATATTAGGCTGAACGAGACAACAGTTTGAAGTAGGTGCAGGACAGACTTTGAATGGAAAGTCTGAATACATGCTTTGGCAGCAGAAATCAAGGATGACTAGAGAGATATGACAATTTTAAATGTTTGTGAGCTAGATTAAATGTTCAACTTTCTATCATTTTATTCTTCCTTAGAATGAATAGTAAGGAACAATATAGACAACATCAAATTTTGGCATTGGGACAATAGTTTCAGAAGCCTGAAAACATCAGGAGGGCTTGGAACACTGTATAAGCTTCAATTTGAAAAATCAGTTGAAACAAACGAAAAAGTATATTTTGGTGCCCCAAGATATGACCTAGAAAGTAGAAGAATTTCTTGACAAGTTCTATTTATAGTTCTATACAAAATGTGACCTGCATAAACTATACCTCTGGGAATCTGGCTGCTGGCTGCATATCATATTTAAATGAAAGGATTTGCCAAAATATTAAGTTACACCAAGGTGGAGGAAAGAGCATTCTGGATTCCTAAAGATAAATCTGCAAGTAAAAAATCTGCTTTTTAGACTAACAAGATTCTGTTAATGTATTCTTACAATAAAATAGAATTAATTGAAGTGGGCATGCTTTTTTTCTGGATTATATTGCAGGGCAGACATTAGTCTTGCCAGTCTGAAAGTACATTTTTTCCACATCGCCTTTTCAACCAAGAATCTAGGAAGAGTCCTTTCTGAGATATTTGCCACACTCACATTCTTGCTGTGGGCTAAGCTGCCTCTTATCTGAATGTTCCCTGGCTACAGCTCTTCCCCTGTCTCCCAAGGTCATTCCCTCATACCATTACATTGGCCTTTTTGTTAGAAATGCAATGAAGTCCAAGTTAGTGTACAATCCAACAGCTTTTTCTTCCCCATTAAGTACAAATTAATCCAACCACTGCCAATGGCAGGAGGCACCCAGAGGTTGCTGCCAAGCAATGATAACCTAAAATTATCAATAAGTGTATCTTAATAATCAAAGGTGGCCAATTGATTTACTTCCTGCAAATGGTTCTCAGAAAGACTTAACCAGCCTTGGCCAATCTCAGAATCGCTAAGCAGAATCAGACTTAGTTAGCACTCAGATGGGAAATCACAAGAAGTCCTAAGGTTGTAGTCTAGACTGGAAAGTTTTTTTAAAAAAAAGATGGCAAATCACTTTCCATTATTGCCACAGAAAGAACAATGAAGATGTCCATGAACAATATGAAGATGTCCACCAAGAGTCAAACTTTATTTGAGGAAGACTGCTTTTTTAAACATGCAAATATTCTTATGGGAAAAGGGGGCCCACCTGTGAATGGTTGTGTTCTCCAACCGTGTTGTTTTCCTCGTCAGTCTGTTCTTTCTCCTTCCATTCATGCTCTTCTGGGATTTGATCGAGATCATCTGTTAAGTGTTCTGGTTGCCCAGCTTGCTCCATTTCTTCTTCTTCTAATTCTTTTTTCTGCTCTTCTTCATCTTGCTCTACATGTTGTTCCTCATCTTCTCCTGCTTCTTGCTTTTCCTGAATATTTAATTCCCGTGGCCCGTGACCTTCCATCACTTTTCTGTCAGGATGAAAAAGTTCTTCGGTCTGTTCTCTTCCTTCCCTAGGGCTTACTTTAATAGCCTCTTCTCCCCCTTGTGATTGCTCACCATTTTGCATAATCTACAATAATATAAATCATTAAATCTGAGAGGTTAGTTTCAAACAATATGCTTCTGGACTATACATTGAACTTCAAGGGATTTAGTTCCTGTCAAGTTTTCAATGGTCTGATGTGGCAGTTATAATATTGGGCTAGAATTGGGGAGAGCCCTCAACCATGGAAGCTCACTTAGATGACTTCAGGTCAGATATTATCGCTTTGTCCAATCTACTTTGCAAGATTGTTGTTTTTTCTTTTTGTAGTTTGCTATTACGGGGAAAAAAATGGAGGAATAAGTTCTTGTGTATGGTACCTAGATTTCCTGGAGGAATATTAATCTCATCAGCACATAAATCACGATAGATACACTGAGAAAGTCAAAATATACATCATAAAAAAATGTCTACAGTGATGCAGAGAAGGGAAAACTAGAACAGCTTTTGAAAGTAGTTTTGGAAGTTTTGCCTGGTGAAAAAAACAAAATTCAAAATGTTACTTTTTACTGCTAAAAGACGAGATAGTTTAGAATTAGGTCATCTATGAACTGCTTACATCCCTAGGAGACTGCGTACGTTTTGTGATAGTTCACTGATAATTTTAAGCTGCGAATGGCAAAAGACAGAGCTTGGTTGTTTTTCAGTTTATGTCCCTAAAACAAATGTTCTGTTTTTTATTTTTGTTTCCAAAGGCCATGAAAACATAAGCATTTCCATTCATTTTTGCTGTGAGTTTTGTTGAACTTAAAAACTCAGTCTAGGGTCTTGAAATGGATCTTTGAACATGGTTCCAGAGATCCTCCAAACAGTTGCTACTGAATTAGGTTTAATGACTAAAAGAAATAAATAAAAACGCATTAGTTATAATTAATATTATAATAACCATATGGGAATTAATTATAAGAACTGTATTTTAATTATTTCAATTTTAATTCCACTTTTATTTGTCTTAAGCCTACCCACATTTCTATGCTATCTATTTGTGGCTCTTCCTCCTTTTAAGGAAGAGGTATTCACCCCAAAAGGCTGAGATAATTGCTGTCCTAAAAAAAAACCCTTGTTTATCTTGTTTAGAAGAAATCCAGATTGTTGGCTAAACTGTTGATGTATTTCACACTATTTTTATTATTTTTTTTAAAAAAATGTAACTAGGGCAAAGGATCATTTTTAAACATTTTACTGCAATTTTTGCCTATAATGTCTTGCTGTAAGGAATTTAGGCATTTTTAAAGAAAGTACTTGTGTGCCTCGATACACATCTTACATAATTCAAAAGCTATCCCTCAGTCAACTCACATTCTCCAAGATGAATAGCCTAAGGATCAAGAATGGAAAAAGGAAGGTAAATACAATATACAGGAGACAACCCGTAAGGTCCAGGGAATTATGTTGCCATGTTTTATTAATGGAAATAGCTTTATGCCGAGACAAAGTGAGCACTGAAATAATTATTGGACTTATTACACACAAATTAAGTGGAATCTTTACAGAACCCAATTTTAGCTTTAACCTGTATTACTCTCTAAAACTATTTGGCTAGAAATTGCTGTATCATAATGCTAGACTTTAATCCATCACAACGTGAATAGATATTTAAGAATAAATTTACATGTACATATTTCATCAAAGATAGAAACAGATGTTTCCCATCTCTTATTATGACTCGGGAATTAAGGTCATATTAAGCAGAGTCTGGTTGCAATTTCAGCACTGAATTCCTTCCCATAGTTGGGAATCAGACTGCTAAGACATTAAGAGCTGGGACATCAACAGGTAGACATTCATGTGTGAAATTAGCCCTAAAAAAACTCAATTTGCCTATGCAAATCGGTATTTTTGCTTCACAGCTAATGTCCCATATCAGTAATATTCTTGAAACCCATTTTCCTCAATCCCACAATTACTTCCTAGAGCTATATTTTACTGATCTGAAATACCCATCCCTGCCGTTTATTCTTTTTTGATTTCATTATTTTTTTCATCCCAATCTTAATGAAGAAAAAAAGCAGACTTACAGATTTTCATTAGAAAACAAAACTGAAGCTGTTTGTACCCAAACAAGACCATATCTGGAATTTAGACTGCTTTACCTTGCTTAAACTAATAATGTGACATTTGAAAAGAGCAAAGATCTCTATCAATGTTTTATTAAACACAAGCATTCAGAGAGGGACCATATCTGATTATGCATGGTTGTCCATATGCTATGGGAAAAAAAAGACACAAAGGTCTCTTTTCAGATTACTTCCAGCCTGGGCAACCTAAGCTAAATCAATGCTGTGATTCATACTTTTATATTACAGACCACTAGATTGCTTGTTCTTGTGCCAAGGGCTGCATTTTCTTGATGCAAGCAACCAGTCTTCCAATTAAAACATCTCCCCCAAACTGATACAAATGGAATAGGGAGGGGAAAAAACATGAATAGGGTAGCAAAAGCTGGGTCACAACCTGTTCCCTTGTTATAGTTAAATAGGACAAGATGGTGATAGTTGCTGAAAATTAATGGCACTTTTTTATCATTTTATGCTGGAAAACACTGAAAAGCTGTCTTAAATCAGCAACAAAGGTCGGAAACAGTCCAACTAGAAAATCCCAGCCTCATTCATGTGCAAGATGCTTTGCGTCATTGCATACTTTGACCTTGAAAGTGGGAGAGAAAGCGAAAGGAAAAATAAGCAAAGAGATACCACCTCTTTTGGCCACCTTAGCTGTTCATGGGTCAACTGGAAGGAGCTTCATTCTCCTTCTCAGGTGCAAAAGAAAATTAAAAAGTAAAACCTAGGGATGGGGAAATCCCCTCCCCCCCAAAAAAAATGTTGATGAAGAATCCTCTGCATCTGAAAAAATGTATATCTCAAGAGCAGAAGAAAACAGAGACATCAAGAGAAGGATGGCTGATACAACTTCCACCATTGCTGGTGACCAAAGACAGGATGCTTTTAGGAAGTCAGGATTAGTAATTTTTTGAAACAGATAACAAATATGTTTACACTCTAGTGGGTAGGTAGGCAATAAAGTGCCTACCACTGCTAAAGAATGCCTGGACACTTCCCTTCCCAGATGCCTTTTGGATGGATGGATGGATGGATGGATGGATGGATGGATGGATGGATGGATGGGTGGATGGATGGATGGATGGATGAATGAATGGACGGGAAGCAGGCAGGCAGGTAAAGTGAAGCACCAGTCATTTATTTATGTACATATTAATTGAATGTGTATACCACCCAACTCTCAACAATTCTGTAAGGTTCACTAAGTAAAATTCAGGAAAAATAACAATAAAGCAATACAAAAATAAAGACAAAGGAACAAAATACGATATCATATTTATTTATAGAATGGCTTTGAGCTCCACAAAGGTCCCAAAAGGACACCAGAGAAAAAAGTAAACCAAGCAGCTTCACTTTCCTCATCAACTTGCTTTACACTGAAGAAATGATAAAAATTTCCTTATTAAGACGAAGAAACCATGTGGGTCTCCTCTGTATCACTCTGAAGCCTCAAAATGACAGACCCAATATTTGGCAGTGACTTGTTCAGCTGCAACTTGTACAAAAGTCACTGACTAGAAACACCAGAGCATCCTGCCCAAGTGCTCAGAATGCATAGAAACTGATTTATAGATAGTGTTACCTACAAACCCAAGCAAACTTCAAGGGATAACTTTGAAATACTGTTGACGTGAAGTACCCTGTGAAGGATTTACACGACTCTAGTGGAAAGCTTTCTGATAAATTGGTATATTGTGACTCACCATATCCAATATAGTAGCCAATTGTGGGCGTATCTGCCAATTACATTAAAGATGTCAAATGGGACTCCGTGCATGTTTACGCTTACTGTGTGAGGTAGGATATTCTGTTTTCCATCATCCATCCATCCAATTTTCTGCCTATGTTCTGCCTTGCATTAATATTTCTGCCTAGTATCAATTAATAATAGTAACACTTAATAATAGTTAAGTATTCTGCTGCAGTGCTGTAGAAAGTCAGCTAGTGGAGTTCCTTTTCCTGGCCACTTAAGAAAGATTGCCTCTCTAGCCTTGATGAAAACTGCATTTGTTAGCTTTCTAGCTGAGCGTTGCATTGGCTGGATGCACCTGTCAGAAGTTACAAGGAAAGGGAAAGGTAAGTGGACCTGGTTGTGGTGGGACGGAGAGAAGGCCAGTGGGGAGGGAAGGAAGAAACCAGAAGTGGTGATGAGGAGGCAGGAGGCCTGAATGTTTCTGGCAGATTTCCACATCCCAGAACTACCAAGGCCTCCCCCACCCAGTGAGGCACGGGAAGGGCTGGATTGTGATCATTGAGTGAGACAGCCATGTGGATGTCTTGCTTAATGGCCATGACAATTTACAACCAAAATTCCAGGCTCAATTGTGGTCATAAGTCAAGGACCACCTGTATTTCAACTAGGCTCCACCTTACTTCACTCAGGGAGAAGTCCTGCCCATTATTTATTTAAGATCACAACCCCAAATATCAGAAAAGCTTTTACATTGGCTCATTGTAATACGGTCTCATTTTTTCTTTGGGAGGGTAGTTTTTTTGCAATATTTCTTTCTTTTCAATGCCATCTTTACTTATGTGGTGAGAAGTAAATCCAGGCAGGCTGGAGGATAACTACCTAGTAGCTGATCAGGAATTAGACATTTCAGATGAGATATCCAGATTCTGTCACCTGATGGAAGGCAAACAACTGCTTCAAGTAAAGTGAATTACAAAATGGCAAGCACATGGGATGTTGCACTTAATGATCTGAGGTAATTCACTGCAGCCAAAACTGATGTTGTTAAGTGTGATGTTTCATTTAACAACCGTGCAGCTTAGCAGTGGAGTTGCTAGTTCCAACTGTGGTTGATAAGTGTGGACTACTTTTGTGTGTATTGGTATACTATGCTGCTTTGTTCTTGAAATATCTATTACCTTTTAAATTATCCTGGGCTATGACTTAACACATCCCATGCTGACTTACCATTCTGATGTCAAATATATACTGTAGAATTTATTCAGAAGACCCCCTGATTAGTCCAACAAAGGTACAAATTGATCATTTTGAATGTCCTTACTTGGAAACCATCATCATCCTCTATTTGGAGTAGTGAAAATTCTTGATCTCCAAGAGGCCAAAGAGTAACGGCCAGAGTCATCTATAACTTCATGTGGACCTGCTCTGTAAATATCCTTGCTAAACTTTCTGACAAGTTTAGATAACTAAGTCTGAACATTTTTTGTGATAGCAATAGTGGAGAATATGTGTAGCTTAGGGTTGAAATGTTGGAATCTTGCTATTCACAAAGCCAGCTTTTTTCTTGCAAACATTTCATTAATTGTGACATTTGCAAAAGGAAAATCAAGCTCAGTAAACATGAAAATCCCCAAAGAAACCTTTTAATGAATATTTATGTTTTATGTCATTTTAAATGAAGACTGGCCATTTCTGACAGCTTTCTGCTAGATTCTTTTATACTTTAGACACACGTAACAAAATGAGTCCTACATCATAGAGTTGGCAATGCAAACAGCCCTTCCCAGATGACACAAATGCTTTTCCATAACTGAAAATCTGAACATCTAGAAATCACATTTCACCACTGTCCTTTCACCCTATGTTGATTTAACAATTCCACTGTACACTGGTACCTCAGTACTTATCGTTAATTGGTTCTGGGAGGCACAATGAGTACCAAACAATTTTTTTCTCATATGGAATAATATAGTGAGTCACAAGGCAGCCGACACTGACAAGTTCTACTTTGTCAGATGAGTACCGGGACAAAATTGTTGCATAAAAATGCATTGAGTACCAAATTTGATGAGTTTCAAGGCAGTTGAGGTACCACCAAGGTACCACTGTGGTTAAATTCTGCAATTCTTATTGCTGTATTTATAAAGTTGAATTTGTCCTAGCAACCAAGGTAGAATAAAAACTGGTGTCTTCTACATGTTCTGTACTACAACTGCCACCATCATTTTATCTGGATCTGATACCCTTAATGGACTTTTTGCGGATCCAAGGACTGAAAAGATTATGTTTAATGGATTTGTCTATAAGAGATGAGATATGGTATGAAGAGAACTTTGGTTGTAAACTAAGTGGGTTCAGAGTGTAAATTAAGTGGGTGCAGAGTTACAAAAATGGTTTATACTTGTGATGAAGGTTGGAAGTCACTTTATATATCTTTTCTCTCTCTCTACTCTATTCTTACTTTTCTATTTTTTCTTCTCCTTTGCACCTTTCATTCTTTTTTTCTATTCTTCTAAACGTCTTTTAGTTTGTATTAGATTTTACTATTGTAATTAAAACCCTTAATAAAAATTATCTATGCATTAAGATGTGAAAATGTACAATGCTTAACTGAAGTCATTTGCATAAAAATGGAATCAGGTCAAATTACTCAAAATGACCATTGTAAAACTGGCAAATGGGTCTTGCAATTCACTTCAGGGTAGATGCCAAAATTCTGGCCAGACAACGTTTACTGAAGATAGTCCTAATTGTCTTTTTCTGTTGTCAATAATTGTACTCAGTGGCCAATTGGCAGTTTCTGGTATCCTTCATCCTATTGTCTATTTTCAAGCAGTTTGTGGCTTGCCTACATCTGAAAATGGAGAACTTCGGCAGCAGAAAATGAAGAAATACACCAGAACCTGTAACTGAAAGTACTTTTCTTAATTCATATGGCTTTTTTCTCCCTCAGATGTGGGTGAGTTTCACTTTTAGGCAATTTTTCACCTGCCCCAAGAGGGAGCTCTGGGAGCAAGAACATACTCTAGTACAGTGATGGCGAACCTTTTAGAGACCGGGTGCCCAAAAACTGGCCCCGCCCCCGCTCCACTCCCTGCCCTGCCCCCACTCTGCCCCCCATCCCCTACCCCGCTTGCCCACAGGACCATTCACCACCTCCAGGGCCTGCCGCAGATCGCTCAGGCAGCCCAGCAACGCTATGGAGGCCACACCCTCTCCCCGCGCCCTGCAGCATCAATTGTATGATGGGGCGTGAGGGCAGAATCTTGTCTACGCTGCCTGGCTGCCATGTCCTTGGCTGCGCTGCTCCGTGTGGGCCACGCTCAGGGGCGACTCTCCTTCAGGGGGGCTGCTGAAGAGGAGGGGTCGCAGGGGAAGCAAGGCTGGGGCAACGGCACAGGGGGCTCCGAGTGCCGCCTCTGGCATCCGTGCCATAGGTTCGCCACCACTGCTATAGTATTAACCTTGGATGTAAATCAGATACTTGTTATGGCCAAAAACTTGAAATAATTGTGGAATAAAGTAAGTGTCCTTTATCATAGTTGGAGGCTGATAATGCCATAATGGTCACAATTCATTGTCTGAGGACTAAAGTTTCAATTTTTATATCCTGGCTGAGTGAAAAAAAATTATCTTAGGAAAATTGCTATTCAAGGTTTTTTAACTGTGTTTTAATGTGATATCTAGATTAAATCATTTGTCCTGCTCAGCTTCTCTTCTCCTGCCCTTTGCAATGATAACAGCGACCTTTTTAATAGGATTGTTACATGGACTACTGCAATAATGTTCAGAGCACTGTATCAATGCTAATAACCATGATGATGATTAAATAAGATTGCTTTGCCTTAATACAGTCAGTTCATATTACCTCTTTTTGCTCTTTAGCGGCATCTGTGCCCTGTGTTTTGGAATCACTCAGAGGAGAAGGCACAGGTGTCACAGGCAAACCATGTGGCGACTCAAATTTTTCAGGTTTCTGGAAACTGGGCATCTTTTTTAAGGTGTCCTTCAACTGCCTGTATTCTTCCACCTGAGACTAGAAATCAAATGTAACCATTAGATTTCACTGATAGAGAAGCTGGTCTCAGTAATAAATGCAGGGAAGCAAGAGGCTCCGAGCTGATGCAGGTATTTTAACTAAACATGCACATTTGATCAAAAATGTCCATGTGCTAAAGCTACATCTTTCTATGCGGCAGAGTGCATCAATTTAATATATTACAGCAGACATGCAAAGTCGAACAGAAAATCCCCATAGCCCAGAAAGGGGATTAGTTTTTCATGCCACACAGAAGAAGAAACTGTCAGTAGTGAATTATTACATCTTCCTTCAATCTTTGAAAAGGAAAAAAAACCCACCCACAAACAGAAAGCATCATGGAATGAAATGGAAAGAAGAGAGGGAGGGAGGGAGGGAGGGAGGGAGGGAGGAAGGAAGGAAGGAAGGAAGGAAGGAAGGAAGGAAGGAAGGAAGGAAGGAAGGAAAACTATCTTGTTCAGTTGCCCATAGGATAGGTCTTCCTTTTTTAAACAATGGATCAGACTCCAGGACTTCTCCTTGGGAACTCTTGGAGAAATCTGGAGAGTAAGAGACTGGAGAACATTACCTTACTAAATCCAGCCTGCTTCTGCCTATAGTATTTAAAAAGAATGACTCTTGATAAAATACAGGGGTGGGGGGAGATGACAGAATAGTTCCCTGAAACAAACTACTGATCATTCTCCAACATAATTACTAGGTCACAAGAGCAAGGCCTGGTGATGGAGCCACACCAATAGATACCATCTAGTTCAAAACTACCTATAAATCCATGTGATGAAGGCTGCATGTGGAGTTAACTTTAATAGCCTCACAGAAAAGAAGACATGAGTCAACTCAAGGTTGACTCAGCCTTCCATCCTTCTAAGGTCAGTAAAATGAGGACCCAGATTGTTGGGGGCAACATGCTGACTCTGTAAACCACTTAGAGAGGGCTATAAAGCACCGTGAAGTGGTATATAAGTCTAAGTGCTATTGCTATACAATATTTTAAGGATGAAGGTCTACAATTACCATCTATCTATCAAACATTTAATCTGGGCTTACTTTTCACTATAAAACACCCAATAAAATTATCACTGCCAGAGAGCATGGGAAAAATTATAAAACTACATAAATAAAAATAAAATTATTTTCACCAAGTAGATGGAAACTATGAGCAATAGTTTAAAGATTGTTTTTTTTTAAAAAAACAAACAAACAAGTTCATCATTACCTTGATCGAAAGAAAACAACCCAGATCCCTGATATCCACCCTAAATGTTTCCATTTGGTGAATTTGTCACAGGCATCCTATGGACAATGCAGATTCATATCAGCAATTGCAGAAAAAAGAAATCTCAAAGGGAAGACAATGCTTTGTCAACCACTGTGGGAGATAATGCCAAGAATAATACAGATAATATAATGTCCATGGGACACAAGGTGAAAAAAGGAAATCCTGATTGCTATTGGGCAAATGGTGGCATAGGAAAAGCCTGATATACTGTGAGGTGTTCTCTGTCAATCAATGCTTCAATTATTTAACGTTGGCTGGTAAACTGTTTCCAATAAAGCTTAGTCTTTTACTATAGCTGGATTGACAGAATGACAGAGTTGGAAGTGACCTTGGAGGTCTTCTAGTCCAATCCACTGCTCAAGCAGGAAACTCTATACCATTTCAGACAAATAGTTGTCCAATCTGTTCTTAAAAAACTCCAGTGTTGGAACAACCACAACTTCTGAAGGCAACGTGTTCCACTGAATAATTGTTCTAACTGTCAGGAAATTTCTCCTTAGTTCTAGGTTGGTTCTCTCCTTGATTAGTTTCCATCCATTGCTTCTTTTTCCTGCCTTTAGGTGCTTTGGAGATTAGGTTGACCTCTTCCTTGTGGTAGCCTCTCAAATATTGGAACACTGCTATCATATCATCTTTAGTTCTTCTTTTCATTAAACTAGACATACCCAATTCCTGCAATTGTTCTTCATATGGTTTAGCCTCCAGTCCCCTAATCATCTTTGTTGCTCTTCTCTGCACTCTTTCTAGAGTCTCAACATCTTTTTTATATTGTCACAACCAAAACCTGATGTTGAGGAAGCAACTGCAATAGAGTTCCTAAACCAGAGAGCTATAATGCTTCTCCATATACCCCACCAGCATGTTTCCCTATCCTCATCCACTTCCTGATATGAAAAGCTCTCATCTGCAATCAGCAGCCGATAGGAAATTAAACCTTAAGAGCTTTTGAAAAGGCTCTGCTGATGTCAGTGATGACAGGTTTTATCTTAATGCCAAATAGAAGACATTTAATCCAAATGTAGGAAAAGTATCATGACCAGCCTTTGCTGATAAAGCAGAAGCAATGGAATTGGCATCAAAAGTACTGGGACCTGCCACGTCTGTTCTCCCTCAAGGGAAAAAAAAGATGTTATACATAAAGAAGAGATGATGTGGACAGGCAAAGGAAAACAGATAAGGATATTTTTTCTGTTGCTATCTGTTTATCATTTTCCCCCTTTTTGAAATTTAAATCATATGCCCATACAAAACAAACTACAATATATTTATCAACACAGCTTCACTATGGTTACAAAATGTAGAGGAAGATATGATGGGAGATGCAGAGAGCCGCCATGATAGGAAGCAGGAGAGGAAAGTTGTCTCCCATGCTACCTTCCAGCTCTCCAGCCTCACACAAGGACTTATTAAGGCCCCCTCAGCTTTAGTTTTGCTAATATTTTATAATTAGGATAGCAGATTAGGTATGCTGCTCCTTTTAATTTTTACTTCCCTGCAACAACGCTTATTTGTGAAATCTACTGGCTGCCCATCTTACCTCACAGTAACAACATAATTACTCTGAGGTAAGAAATATTCATTATATCCAGGTGTAAATTACCTAGCTGAAGCTCTGGCAGAAATGAGGCAGACTCTAACTCTCAAAGTAGAATGAATAAGGCAGGGGTCTTCAAACTTGGCCCTTTTATGACTTGTGGACTTCAACTCCCAGAATTCCTCAGCCAGGCATGCTGGCTGAGGAATTCTGGGAGTTGAAGTCCACAGGTCATAAAAGGGCCAAGTTTGAAGACCCCTGGAATAAGGAATGACTTTGAAGGACAGAGGAAGAATCACTGCCAAAGTAACAATCGGATACAGGAAGGGCTCAAATCTATTCCAAGAAACTAATTTGAGGAAACATCTCAACCCCTCCCTGATTCACATGAAAATAAAATGAGAAGAGGGGGAAAATATATTCAGTCTTGCAAAATGATTTCTACCATCTCTACAGTCTCAGACTATGGTCTCAGACTATACAACCACAGCGATTCACTTAACGACTGTGGCAAAAAAGGTTGTAAAATGGGGCAAAACTCACTTAGTAATAGAAATGTTAGGCTCAATTGTGGTTGTAAGTTGAGGACTACCTGCATATTACTATAGCTGTTCTAATAAAAACAGTTTTGGATGTCAGTGGGATTGATTTCTTAGCTACAAAGGAGAAAGCCCATTGAAGGATCAGATGTCAGGAGACAAAATCAAGTGTGCTGGTTTACAATTCTGGTATAGCAGAAATCCTTCTAGGTATGCAGATCTTGCCCCAAGAGGGCAGCTGGTTATTAATCAGAGGACCCAGGCTTGCATGCATAAAAGTTACAATCAGCAGGGGAAAAAAGAAGCCAAAAATATTAGAAGATTTAGAGAAAAGAAAAACACCACTGCTAACGCAATGCCGATCTGGTGGCTGACCTGCGCAGCTTTTAGTGCGCTCTTGTGTTCTTCCAGTGTCATTACAAGCTGGTTTTGTTGGGAGATTAAATTCTTATGCTGAAACTACACAAAAGAAAATACCACATCAAATGTGAACCCATGTGTTTCTTCAAAGCCCAAAATATATTCTTAAGGGGACTGTCAACCACTGATTTCTCACTTGCTTTTTAACCTTGCTTTTATTAAATATATAGTAAAACATCAGTTTAACACATACATTAAAAGGAGTGGATCTTTCTTGTTTCTCACCATTAAATCAAAGAATATGTTAACTCCAGCACCAGCATTATGCAATGACATGGGTTATACCATTTGTGACAAATGATGTAATGATAACAGGGTTTTCATTCATGCCATTTAAATTCACTAATATGAGGTTACACTGTATATGCATTTTATCAAACTTTAATAAATGAGGGGTGGGTTTATGCAGTCATAGCTAGAGAACATAGATTGAGAACAGACATAAACCACGACTGACAAACTTTAGTGCACAAGTTTATTGCTTGAATCTAGTCAACTGTGGGCTATTTAATACACCATCATTTTTAAAAAATGACTTAGACTGAAAAAAATGCTAATATTAGCTTTTTATTCTTTATTAGCCTTATATATCAGAAGCAAAATAGCCTCTAAAGTTAAATAGGTTGTTTTTCCTAATTAAAATGAATTCCAGAGAGGAAAGTTTAATTTTATATTGTCCACACATATACACACATATACACACATATTCTATTCTATTCTATTCTATTCTATTCTATTCTATTCTATTCTATTCTATTCTATTCTAGGATACCAGCTAGTTTGTTCTCAAGACCAGTGGTTTTGTGCACATATTTCTATAGAAAAGTATTATTCCTCATTTCCCCTCAATAAAAATTATTTGCTCATACATTTCAGGAGAAAAAAAGTTCTAAACAAATAAGGAAGTTTCTTCCACCATCTAATTGATTGGACAATTACACATTTCTATGAACTTCATCTGCTAAAAAAACCTATTAGTGGTAATTATTGTATTGATTTCAACACACCACAAGCAACATTTATATGTTTTATTTATCCATTCATTTATAAATTGAACACAGACAAATGTTCACTGTAGATACGGCCTTTTTACTCTAGCCTTAAACTGATTCTGCAGCTCACAATTCTTAAGAGACTGGAGGGGAATAAAGCAAATCTGGAATTACAAGCTAAGATCATTAATCTGTGAACTATGTATAGTCCCAACAAGCATGGCTTATGGAGGATTGCAGACTTGGAGTGTTAATGGAGTAAATGGAAAGAGGATGAATGAATAACTGAAAAGAATGAAAGAAAGAAAAATAGGTACGTTGTATGCCTGAGAAACTAAGAGGAAAGGGAAGGCTGTAATAGATCAGAACGAAGGTAGTTTGATCTTGTGCAGTACATGCATGAACGTGAAGGTGTAAGTTCAATTAGGAATAAAAGAGCTAAATTGAATGCCAAAATGTATGAACTAGTATTATTCGGACTGTTTTAAGGGTGTATGAAAATTTATAGGCAAGTGCTGCATGTTACGCTCCAGTGAACTGTGATAATGAAAAAACCAGGAATGAATTCTGAGAAAAACTGTGCAACATTCTGAGTGAATGCTGGGGGGGGGGGGGAGTTATACAGATGATGGGAATGCAAGGTTGGGGATGAATCAAAACCAGTAGAAAAAAAGACCCAAGATTGAATAAGAATGGTGATTGTTTGGCATGATCAACTTAGGAGAAGATTCTCACACTCCCTCTCTGACTGGTGTCTCCACACACCCTCCCTGACCTGTGTGGCACCTCTAGCACACTCTCCCCAACACATCAGGGCCTCTCACGCACCCTCTCACACCTTTGTGTATCCACCCCAGCCCTACTGTCCCCAGCCTATGCAGTGCCCCTTTCAACCCCCTAGCAGCCTCAGGCCTCAGCCTTCCGAACCACATCATGCCTCTCATGCACATCCTCACACAATCTGTGCACCCTCCCCAACCCACATGGCACTTCTTGCACTTCCCTTTGTATCTTTCTGTATCCTCCCTGACTTCCACTGAGCCTTCTCACCCCCTCCCACCTTTATGCACCCTCCTAGACCTTCCCTCACACCCTCATGCACCTCCCCATGCCACACCTCATGTGGATCTTCACTCCCTTCAGCTACCTTTCAGTAGCCATTTACCTGCCTGTAGATTTGGGGACATGCGACTTCATCCCAGCTTCCCCAGTGACTTTGCTTGTGGGAAGCCAGCAGGAAATTGCCTCGCCTAATAACCATGGGATTCAATTAACAATGGCAACCAGGACTGCAGGAACTGCTGCTGCTAAGAGATGTAGCCAGGCTTTATTACTGCATCACTTAGCAAAGGAAATTCTGCTCCCAATTGCTGTTATAAGTTTAGGACTATTTGTATGAAATTTTTTGAGATCGTTCAGTCATAAGAGAAAATTAATGTGGCTGGAGCAGAAAACATATAGGAAGAAAGAATGAATGGATTGAGAAGAAGCCCAAGAAATTGAAGCTGATGAAATACAGTATGAAATACCATATGGATATAGTAGAAGCAAAGAGGATTTGCAAGGATAGAAGTACCTGGAGTGAACAGTATTAGTATAAAGTAGATTTAACTAGATCTCCTCTTCTTTTATTTTCTCACCCCTTTAACGTCTTTAGCTTATTACTGCAGTTCTTACTTATTACACTGCCAACTTCAAAAAGGGAACAATGTGATGGGTATGGATGTACCAAACCATAATTTAGCATTATGGAAGTCAGAATTTAATTCACATTCCTACTATCTATATATGGAAGCCAAGAATGTGACTTAAAAGATACTGTGATTTCTTAACATGTAAAAACCAGGGCTTATATTGGCTTATTTAGTAATTTACTGAGTTTTTAAAATTACAATGCAACGGCTTATATGCAAGAAACATGTTTACTTTTCCTTTTGATTATTCAGAGGGCAGGGAATAGAGTGGTGATGTGTTAAATTGTGCACTGGTGATCTGTGTGAACAATTCCAAAATGCTACTATTGTGTACTTAAAAAATGACTACTATATTTCCCTTTAGTCACAAAGATTAAACATTTTTCCCACTGTGTTATATACACCATTGCAACATTTTTATTCATTCCTTTTTGCAAAGAAAGATATATTTCTCTCTTTCTCACCACTCATGATTTTTTAGGAGACCAAGATCTTACCTTCACATCTTGCAGCTGAGTATGAATATCCTGGTGGGATCTCCTCAATTGTCTGTTTTCTTCTTGCAGATTGTACATGGATTCTGTTTAAAATTCAGTGTAAAAAAAAGTGTTTGAACAGACCTATCTTTGTAGGACGAATTCTAATTGATTTATGTTTTCAAATATTAACTAACTCAATGCTAACTTGAGTAGACCAGTCTTGCCCAAACATATCCCCCCACCCCCACTGTATCAAACTGCAAAAACCCATAATTCCTACCTACATAGCCAAATGAGATCTCACTCTACAGGATGGCCTACTTTGTCCAATTCCAAAATTACTTAAAGAGCATCCTCCTATACCTTTTAACTTGGACAGCTCCTGCTCCTTTTCTTGCTGTAACTGCACGTATTTCTCCTTGTGGTCATCAACTGCTCGGTTGAAATCATCTCCCTGTCTCCTGTGCTCGTCTTCCAGATCTGAGTGCTGTTTCTTTAGTTCTTCATGCTGGCTCTGCAGAGCACAAAACCAAAACAAAAAAACCAGCACAAGGATTTCTTGATCTGTGCAGCTGCCAAATCTTGTTTTGATTTTCAATGCAGCATCACTCCAAGGGTGAGACAATGATAATTGGGGGGGGGCTGTGCAATGTTGATGGAGATGCTCCCAGTATTCCATTTTTCTGGTCTATTTCTTTATTTTGATTTCCCCCCCCCCTTTTTTTTTTTTTTTTTTCTTAAATTTATACCCCGCCCTTCTCCCGGAGGACTCAGGGCGGCTTACAGCCAGCTTAAAACAATGATACAAAACAATACAAAATTTAAAAATGATTAAAAATAAATATTCAAATTTGGCCGCTTCTACTAAAAATTTGATTAAAACCAATTTAAAATCCACTAAAATTCCCTAGGCCAGACCTGCTTGTTGAAAAAGCCATGTCTTTAGGGCGCGGCGGAAGGAGGGGAGATCCGGGATCACCCGGATCTCTGNACTCTGTGGGAGCGTACCGGCCGATGGGAGGCAACCTGCGGCAGAAGGCGGTCTCGGAGATATCCAGGTCCGATGCCATGGAGCGCTTTAAAGATGATAACCAACACCTTGAAGCGCACCCGGAAGGCCACCGGCAACCAGTGCAGCTCGCGCAGCAGCGGTGTTACATGGGAGCGACGAGTCCCTCCCAACACCGCCCTTCCATTCAATCATGTCTAAGTCTCAGAAAGTACAAGGGCAAGTCTCTGCAGTTTTCAGAAATGGTTTGCCATTGCCTTCTTTTCCTTGGGCTGAGAGAAAGTGACTGGCCCAAGATCATGCAGCCGGTTTTGTGCCTAGGGTGGAACTAGAACTCACGGTCTCTCAATTTCTAGCTTGAACCCTTTATCACTGCACCAAACCAGCTGTCTTTATTTTGATACTTTCTACATTTTTTAGAATATACCCTCCTCCCACTAAAAAAAAAAATGGTCTGAAAAAATGTTTTAACCCATCTTAAGGCATGATTTAGCCCTACCCTACCATGCATACTCTTCCTTTCTCTCTTCTGTGCTTTCTCCTGCAATGTGTATATCAATAACAATAAAATATCATAAATGTACAGGAACAGGAAGAAAAGGGAAGACACAACCTGTCAGATTAAGATTAAATGACGGTTTAGCACAGTGTTTCTCAACCTTGACAATTTTAAGGCATGTGGACTTCAACTCCCAGAATTCCACAGCCAGCATTGCTGGCTGTGGAATTCTGGGAGTTGAAGTCCACATGCCTTAAAATAGTCAAGGTTGAGAAACACTGGTTTAGCATAACTTGAATTTCAGATCAGCAAATCATTCAGAATATTTTTCAGCCTTAAAATCCTCTCTTGAAACTGTACTATATCAGAAGGTCCCTGGGGTTCAAGCTCCAAACCATGAACCTTTACACGCAATTGCTTTCTGTACTTATGCATCAAACATATGAAATGTGTGTGAGGGTTTCGTGTGTGAAAATGTCTTTAATTCTCTTCAAAGTACAAAGACGATGATTGGATGGAAAACGTTTTGCAATCAGGAAGCCAACCTTCTCATAAAATCTAGAAGTCAAAAAAGATTTTTTAACTGGAGTTTTGGACAAATGCTTAATAGCACCAGAAACCTAATTTCATCTTCAGCGACCCATCTTTTGTTTAAAGACAGAGGTGGGCCTATTTAACGTAGCTGAAAAGGGGAGAAGAAGGTAGGTTCAATGGTGGAATTATATTTGAGAGATAACAGACCTCCAGTTTTCAAATTAAATCTTACATTTAATGGCATGGAATATTCTAATATTAAGCAGACAAAGATGCTCCAAATCTAGCATGGGCACCCTTGTTGAACCCATATGGTAGCCACATGGTTTCAGGAAAAGTTTTTAGGTCCAGGAGGAGTGCCCACACTGATTGTAAAACACCTTTGCCAAATTTATTAAGGCTGTTTTTACAGCTTCTATATAACATTTCCTTTGTTTGCCAGGAAACTGCAAGGGCTATAAATTGCCTACCATTGGGAAAAAAGACAACTCAAGAATCTACCTTCAGCATCTGGTGTTGTACGTGCAGTGCACTGTATCTGCTATTGGAATCTTGCTGCAAAGCAAACAAGCAAACAAACAAACAAAAAGAAACACATAGTTAGATAACTGTTTTTGGCATAGCTATGGCACTTCTATGGAAATTGCAAACTTCTTCTTGAATTTGCCCATAGAGATGCAGAGAAAACAGATTTTAAGATGCATACTTTTCTTGGCTCAGTGCTGTGTTGAAGTGTTGAATTCAATTGCTAGAGGTCCCAATTTGTGGGAGGTTCAGGGTTGTAGAAATTTAGCATTTCCACACTGAAACAAATCTGGATTTCCACACTGAAACAAATCTGGATTTTCACACTGAAACAAATCTGGATTTCCACACTGAAACAAATCTGGATTTCAGACTGACTGAAGATGAGAATGTTGAAATCCAGTCATCTCAAAAACATCACAGCAGTGAAGGCTATTTTAAGGCTTGCTTGTATGCTTCTCTGCCATATTTCCCTGTTCCCTTATATGAAAGGCATAAATTAACCAGAGATCGTACTCACAACTGACTAACCTGCCTCCTCAAGGTGACAAGAATGTGAGTCACATTGGTGGAATGGGACAAGTACTAAACAAAATCCCGTTTAGAATTGTTACAAAAGGACTAGCAATTTCCTTGCATTTGCTACTGTTGCCATCTCTTTGAGCACTCTATTGACATAATTACTTTCAATTCTATTCCTAATTATCCCCAACGAGGAATTTTTTATATTATTTAATTGTCCATTACCAGATCATTTTCTTGGTAAGTCACCAGCATCTCAGATCTCATCATGGCACACAATTAGAAACTCCCTCATCGCAGGATTTATCCTTACTTTGAAAATCGTTTTAGCAATAGCAATAGCACTTAGATTTATACACTGCCCCATAATGCTTTACAGAATCTCGGGGGGGGGGGGTTTACAGAGTCAGCATATTGCCCCCAACAATCTGGGTCCTCACTTTACTGACCTTGGAAGGATGGAAGGTTTGAGCCAGTGAGAATCGAACTGCTGGCAGTGGGCAGAGTTATTCTGCAATTCTGTATTCTAACCACTGTGTCACCAGGGCTCCTAAATTTTCCATTTTAATAACATTTTTTTCTATTTCAGAGGATACTTTTGAAAGTAATGTAGTATCACCTTGAACAACATTGTTCCTCCAGTTCAGGGATTCTTAGTGAGACATCAATGTCTCTGAGGAAACCTCATTTGTCATCTGCCAAGCTCCAAACCCCACCGGACTTTGTACTTTTTTTTTTTAATGTAAAGCTGTCATATTATACAAAGTACAAGCTTCCAGCATAATCCTTATTTCTAAAAATACATCTGGGCTCCCAATGGGCCCTATATACTTTTTCAGAAAATAAAATGTTGGACAGCTGAAGATCAATATTTCCATTCAGAAATGTCTTCCCCTGTCCCCCCCCACAACAGTAAACAGTTAAATGGAATTAACTTTATGAGAGAAGGGACTATGGATCTGTTAGGAAGAATTCTGGGAAAGGAGTGTTATGTATTTGATTCCATTATCCATGAGGCTTTTTATGAACAGGTAAAATGACTCCTTCCTAGCAGCTATTTTGCAAAACCACCAAAAACATTTTCAGAATTCCAAATTACAGTCAATTTGGTGACAGACTCTAGAACATTTATGATATTTAAAAGCATCAACCCCAGTATTACAGTCCTGGAGCATACCATTGCTTAAAATGCCTCTTTTTCAGGAAGTGACTGTATATTTAAGTTATTCAGATTTCAGGCAATTAGATTTTATTCATTATTTTTGTAATTTTAAAGAGTAGAGGCTTTGATAAAATCCTTATGTGCAGAAAAACTTATCAATTACTTCTGCTGACTTACCCTTCCTTTATTTAATGTTTCTTGTGCTTCTAATTTATAAACAAGAAAGTCTAAAATACAAAAATAAAAAGAGAAAAATGAGTGATCTTCAGGAACATATACATAAATAAAACCCCGGAACCAGCTATTCTCTCTGGAAGTAACTCCAGCTCAAACTTCCTTTCACTGTCAAGATTTCACACATTAATTCAGCCATATACAATTTCTCTGCATTCAATTACCGTACCCTTCAGCGGTACCTGTGAACTGATAAATATGTAAACTGACTCTGCCTGTGGCTCAGTGGCCCCCCCCCAGCCCAAATTATGGCACTTGGTGCCAGTTAAAATAAAAAGAACTTCAGTCATGATTAAAATAGATAACAACTAGATTTAAATGCAACTCATGCAAATTCATGAGAATAGAAGTGAGTGCATCAGATATCCAGGTACATATAATATGATGTTGAAATCGCAATATGTAGTTCATTCACAAAAATATGTATCTAGTTATCCTTGTGTGTAAATAAACTATTTACAGTTTAGCTTTACTGAGAGATAAAATTCCTTAGTCTCTGGAAAAGGGCATAAATGATTAACTCAACCCTATGCCAGACCTATAGTTCAGTCTGCACCCGATTTTTCAATATGTACCCCAGTCTTCAAACACCAGAATGTTCACTCTTAATTGGATTGTTACCATGCTTATTGTCATTTTTGGCAGAAAAGAATCACAAGAAATTCAGCCAGACTGAGTGGTTGGCTCCATCCTGTTGAATGAAATATGTCTCTGTTTGCAGAGAAGCTGTTGCAAATAAAATGAGTTTTATCCACTAGATGGTGGTAAGAAACCATAAAACAATCAGCTCTTATCTGCACTATGGAAATTATTACCCAACCACCACCAGCAAGAGCATTCAAAAGCCTATCATTTTTTTTTTAAAAAAAGCAGTTTCAATCCAGGACATATCGCCCTAAATTGCTTATTGGAGTTGTTACACTACAAAACAGCATTTCTCTGCTGATAAAATCTTTTAAAATTCAACTGAAATGTAAATATTACCTTCTTTTGCTTTCTTATGTTCTAGCCTTTCTTTCTGTAAAGATTTTTCTAGTCTTGATCGATGTTCATACACAACTGAAAGAGAGAGAAAAATTGCAGGGAAATAAGTAATTTGTCAACTAAAAAAGGTGCATATATTTTAGGGATGGTAATAATGAAGATCCCCAGCAAGGAGCAAGCACTTGGCCAACGTTATCAGGGCTCAGAAGGTAACTTAGATGGGCCAACCACACTATATCCCTGTGGTTGTTGGCAATTGAACTTGACTCAAAGGCATTTTTACTTTTAAGAGCAATGAATATAAACTGTGAAGAGAAAAGTACTTAACATTTTGAAAATGGGTGTGTGAGGGAACACAGAAGTATCAGTAAAGATGCACGCACCAAGCAAAATATTCTACACATTCAAGTTGATACTTGAACAGGCGATGGTGGATTGTATCCACAGAGTTAAATTGCTGCAGCTTGACATTCAAATTTACAGAGATGGATGTGTTTTAATAAATTTTTAGGGGGATCCAGGGTGGGGGGGGGAGGGGGGAGGCCCTCCTTAGGTCAGGACCAGCCATGTCTGGGGGTTGCGGTGTTGAAAGGGTGGGGGGGAGGGTGGGGGGTTGAAGGAGGAGGGAGGAATTAGTACGGTCAGTGGGAGGGGCAGATATGGCGGGAGCAGAGGACCATATCAAGTTAGGGGAGCACGCACACGCTACTTACAAGCTTGTGGG